GAATGCTATGTAGAAACAGATCTAGGTGCTAAATGTTTTCATGGCTATTGGACAGCTTTGCTTCTAGACTTTCAATGTTTAGGAAATACACATATTTATTAAAACACACACTTTTGCATCTGTGCAAATGTATATTAACAATCATGAATTAATACTGATCCCCCCAATATCAAATCAAATTTTAGCTTTTTCTATATTTTAACCTCCTTTTCTGAAAGAAAATTAGCTCATAACAGATTTATATATTTGCTCAAACTTGTACATAAACTAATTGAGAATTGTTAACCCAAATCCCTGTATGAAACAAATTTGCTCACAGTGTATTTGCTTATAGCTCTTTTTGCCCTCGGCCTACAATATTACACTTAGGCTGAGATTAGGTTAATTTTTCTGTTCCCTATCCTTCTTTTGTGATAGTTATATTCATCTAGTATTGTTTATGTTTCATTTGAGATATGCTCTATTTTTATTTATCTGTTTATTTAATGCCCTCTTTAATTATCTCTTTGGGGTGGGAGCTGAAGTGAAATGTCACTGAGTGTGGTTCTGAGGCCTAACGCTACATAGAACTCACTTCAGAAGTGCAGCTATCTTTCATCCTTACTACTCGTGCCCTCCCTTTCCCACACTCCTGTGCCATCCTACTCATCCTCTATGGATAACCAATCTCCTTAGTTTCCAGTTTATCCCAGTTCTTATTTTGCCCACGTAGGTAGATAGTTACTTATATATTTTATCATCTTTCTAACACGAATAGTAATGTTATACTATAGCCAGTCTTTTGTGATTTGTTTTTACATTTAATAATGTGTCCCAAATTGGTTCATAGAGATTGACTTTTTCCTCCCCCCTGCAATTCTATGGATTGAGCCCAGGCAAATGCTCTACCACGGGACAATTTTGCCAGCCCTCCACTTTAAAATTTTTTATTTTTGAGACAGAGTCCCACTATGCTGTCCAAGCCAACTTCCAACTTGTGATTCTCCTGCTCAGCCTCCCAGGTACTGGCCATTAAAGACATCCATAACCATGCCCTGCTCACTTTTTTTAATCATAGCATTTTTCCTTTATGTCTATATAGACTCTTGTGTGAATATATCATTTATTACACTGTTTACCTATGTATACCAATAGTTTGTTTCTAGTGTCTTACACTGTATATTGTAGACTTACCTTCAGGGTTGATTGCTAAAATTGGGACTGCTGGGTCAGAAAGAGAATGCATATGCAATTTTGTTAGCTATTGTTAAATTTCTCTCTATAGTGGTTCCACAGTGTTCTTACAACAATACATGAAAATACTGTTTACACATATCACTGCCCTTAGCAAATATGGTCATAATTCTAAGTTTTTACCAATATTATGTGCTCTAATTTAGACTTCTGCAATTATGGGTGAAATTGATACATTTTATTTGTATTTTTAAGAACCACTTTTATGGTGAATTGTTTGTTTATGCTTATTTCCTATTGGGCTCCCACATAACTATTCGCCCTAAAATTCATTCTACAATTTTTGATTGGCTAGTGCTGGTACTGGGGCTTGAACTCAGGGCCTGGGCACTATCCTTTACTTTTTTTCCTCTAGCACTCTACCACTTGAGCCACACCTCTACTTCCAGCCTTTTTGGTGTTTAGTTGGAGATAAGAGTCTCATGGATGCCTGTTGGGGCTGGCTTTGAACTATGATTCTCAGAGCTCAGCCTCCTGAGTAGCTAGGATTACAGGCATGAGCCACTGGCACCCAGCATGGATTGTTGTTTGTTGTTTTTTTAATGTCATCAATAAATATTGAATTTTGTCAAAGGAATTATCATCATCTCTGGAGATGAAAACATCTTTTATACCTGTAGGCTGGTTTTTAGGGAAATGCTTGTCCTAGAAGTTAAGGTATCTGGCTTTAGTAGGGCAAGAGGATAGTTGAGATTTAAAGGCAAAGGTTAATTTTAGTAAGGTTTCCATGTTTAATAACTAGAAATCCAGCAACCTATCTGAAGGCAGAGTTTTATATATTTGATGATCTTAAGTGCTAGTGGTACAAGGAACCCTCACAGAGGGTGATGGTCCCCACAGAGCATGCGGATCCCCACGGAGGCAGACGATCCCACGGAGGCCAACAATCCCCACGGAGGCCAACAATCCCCACGGAGCCCGAGGATCCCCACGGAGGTCAACGATCCCCACAGAGGCCAGTGATCCCCACAGAGACCGACAACCCCCAAGACCATGCCCACAGACGATCCCCGCAGAGGCCACCATCCCCACAGAGGTCAACGATCCCCACAGAGGCCAACGATCCCCACAGAGGCCAGTGATCCACATAGAGACCAACAATCCCCAAGACCATCCCCACAGACCATCCCCACGGATGCCAACGATACCCACAGAGGCCAATGATTCCCACAGAGACCAATGATTCCCACGGAGGCCAATGATTCCCACGGAGGCCAACGATCCCCACAGAGGCCAATGATCCCCACAGAGGCCAATGATCCCCACAGAGGCCAATGATCCCCGCAGAGGCCAGTGATACCCACAGAGACTGACAAAATCCCCAAGACCATCCCCACAGACCATCCCCACGGAGGCCAATGATCCCCAGAGAGGCCAATGATCCCCACAGAGGCTGAGGATCCCCACAGACCATCTCCACAGATGATCCCCACGGAGGCCGACGATCCCCACAGAGCATGAGGATCCCCACAGAGGCCGATGATCCCCATGGAGACCAACAATTCCTATGGAGGCCGAGGATCCCCCATGGAGGCCGAGGATCCCCACGAGGCCATGCTGTTTTGTGTTGTCTGCCAATGTTTTGTGTTTTTAAGCTTGTTAAATGATGGCCAAGCCCATTAAAAGTGATTAACAGAAGCTGGTTCTGAGTAGTGTTCTTACTCTTCAGTACATCTCTAAAGTCTCCATTACAAATACTTTGCAGTGTTTACTAACTGTAAACACAGTTATTTAACTATATTGCTTTATCTACTTATGCTAATGAAGTCCTGTAAGTTTGAAAACATGACCTTAATGAATTTAGTTTTTTAATATAAAAACACTTTACAGCTGGGCTCGGGTGGCTCACGCCTGTAATCCTAGCTACTCTGGAGGCTGAGATCTGAGGATCGCGGTTCAAAGCCAGCCAGGGCAGGAAAGACCATGAGACTCTTATCTCCAATAAACTACTAGAAAACCTGAAGTGGCACCGAGGCTCAAGTGGTAGAGCTCACCTTGAGCTGAAGAGCTGAGGGACAGCGGGGGAGTCAGTCGTGGGGCTTGAACTCTGGGTCTGGACGCTGTCCCTGAGCTCTTTAGCTCAAAGGGAGTGCTCTACCACTTGAGCCATAGCGCCCCTTCCGGTTTTTTGGTAGTTTATTGGAGATAAAGAGTCTCTCAGACGTCCCTGCCCTGGGCTGGCTTTGAACCTCGATCCTCAATCTCAGCCTCCTGAGTAGCTAGGATTACAGGAGTGAGCCACAGGTGTCCCGCTTACATTGTTTTGTTGTTTGTTTGTTTGTTTTTGCTTTTTGTTGCTCGTGGGGGCTGAACTCTGGGTCTGGGTGCTGTCTCTCAGCTCTTCAGGTCAAGGCTAGTGCCCTACCACTTGATTCATAGCGCCACTTCTGGCTTTTTTTCTATTTAATGTGGTGCTGAGGAATTGAACCCAGGGCCTCATGCATGTGAGGCAAGCACTGTACCACTGAGCCACCTTCCCAGCCCCTTACATTGTTTTTTAATGAAGCAAAAAAAAGTGGACTATTCCACTTGGGAAATTGTGTGCTCTGTGTGTATGTCTGTGTCTGTCTGTCCGTCTGTCTGTCTGTCTGTCTGTCTGTGCTCAGCCTTCAAATCCTTTGGCAGTCCATGATGATCTTTAACTATCAGCTTGCGCTAGTAAAATACAACCTTCAGACAGCTGCTTTTGCCTTATGGAGAGTGATTCCCAGATATGGTTCACCAAATAGGTTTTGTTTTTTGGGGGCAGGGGGTGGCGGGCAGGGGAGGTAATCACTCCTCTAACCCACCACATAGACTCTGTTATGTAATTTCTCTGGTGTCACTCCTGTGAAATGAGGATTCTGTTTATGTTCACCTCACAGGTTATTGGAGTTAAATTGTAAAATTAAATTGTAACATAAGCCAAGTGCATATAGCAGTGCTTATAGTTGTAAAAAGGTAATACATACTATTGGTACTCTGATTGCTTACTTATAGTGTTATAAAGAAAAGTAGAGAAGGCAGTATGGAGACATTTGAAAAGGTTATTCATAAGTCTATATCCATTCGGTTTCCTAATAAATAGATAATGATTACTTCCTGACTAATAAAACCCCAAAAGGAGAGGAGTTTCAAAAGTGCAATTGATTAAAAAATTACTGTGTTAAAATCTAGAATCTGAGTTTGTATTTCTTAAAACACAAAATTTGAAGGCATAGCGTCTAGACAGGTATTTCTAGCATTGAAAATTAGCCATAAGATAGTTTCAACACTGATAACTAAATGCAAATAGTGCCCTACAGCACTGTCTTCTAGACCTTGAATCTCAAACTCTTCAGGACTGTTTTGTTTTTAATAAGTTTACAGTTTTTTACCCAAATTACACATTTTTTAGGGTTGGAGCTACTGAAACATACTCTTAAAAAGCAAATGAAGGGGGGGGAAGGGGGGGGAAGGAGAAGGATTGGGATTGGGGGCAGGGGGGAGGCTGAGGGATGTGAAGGGTAAACAAAGGAGGAGGCTGCAATGCTTGGTAAGAAATGTACGCATTATCCTGCCCATGTAATTGTAACTCCTCTGTACAGTATGTTCACAAATAAAATAAAATTAAATTAAAAAAAGCAAATGAACAAAATTTCTATGATTCTGCAAATTTTAGCACATAGCATTCATTTTAGAAGTGTGTTTATTTCAAACATGTACTTAGTTATTTAATGAAATAAGCTTTGTATCATGTTGGAGATGCTAATTGAATTTTTTTAACATTTTTATTACCTTCCCCTAAGGTATTCCCATCTGTCAGCAGCACTTAATTTGGAATAACATGGAACTTGAAGATGAGTATTGCTTGAATGATTACAAGTGAGTGTAACCTCATATTAGTTACTATATGGACTCCATATCCTTAGAACACGCCTCCTAAATACCTCTGGTCCTAGATTTCATTACAAATTCTGAACTATAGATGTGTTGTCCCGGCACCCCATCTTCCTGTGATCTTTGTCCTTTGATAATTATATTTTACCTTTACATTTTTTGTATGTGTACAAAATGGTTTTTGCTCTGCCTTTTTATGTCTTCCTATTAATGTCTTGCCTTTTTTGCTTCTGTCATTGAATATTGGTCTACTATGTTCCTTTTATTTTCATTTTAGATATGAGAGAACAGCCCTCCACCAATATGTATTAAAATCTCCTGTTAGTAAGAAATACTGCATGCACCATTGATTACAAAAAATACTTTCTACCTCTGATCTTTCTCTTTCCCCTCAGAAAATTTATTAAACTGAAGAAAAAAGAGCAGAAGAGTGAGAAGTGATGTGGAATAGAGAGAAAGCAATGGGAGTCAGGAGACTTGTTAGATTTGTTGATTTCTATTATTATTATTATTATTATTATATTGAACACATTTCCTGTTTCTAAAACTCTGGATGTTGGGCAAGCCTCTTCTCTTTCCTAGGTCTCCTTTTCCTTCTATGTGGAATGAAGAGGCTCAGCCACACAATCACAGAGGTCCTTGCCAGTACCTTTGGCTGAGATTTCACATAATAGTTATACTTTATGAAAACTTCTTAACCTTTTAATTATGTATATAAGTAAATGCATTAGCATCTCATGTTTCTTCATATTTCTGTATCTTTTTATATTTTAGAGAGTGGGTGCTATGCCTAATAAACCAGCCAGTAGTGTTTCCTTTAATGCTGAATACATTGTGATGATAATAGTTTTTGTATTAATTGTGCACAGCATTTCCGAAGGTTGTACCTTGAAGCTGGTTTTGGCTATGCGTGGTGGACCTATAAATACCAGAAAAGGTAGGCATATATTAAAGCAGAACAATTATATTTTTCAAGAAGTTTGACAACAAATTGACAAAGTAATGTTCAAGTCAGTGTTTATTATAGCCTGTGGTTATAGTCAAGCTCCCTTTTGGTGGTTAAGCCTTTAATTGTTGTAGGCATTGTTTGTTTTTTGTCTTTTTTCTTTGTTTGAGACCAGGACTGTTGATCTGCCACTTTCGCTGGCTTGGCTAATACTCTACCAACTAAGCCACACCTCTAACCCCTTAAAGCATTGGTTATTTCTTTTCTTTTTAGGCATTATTCTTTAAACTTCAAATATATAAGGGCATAATTCTAAAATACATTCCAGAAAAATATCATGTTTCCATATTGAGTCCAATAAGAATTAAAAATAAACATCATCAGTATATGGAAGAAAAATGGAGTGACATGGTATAAAAATTGTTATTGTATTTGGGTTTTCATCTTTTTGTTTTTTCCTCCAGTACTGTGGTTTGAACTCTGGGCTTCATGTTCTTGCTCAGCTTTTTTGCTCATAGTTGTCACTCTACCATTCGAGCCACTTCTGATTTTTTCCTGATTAATTGGACATAAGAATCTCTAGGATTTGTCTGCCTGGGCTGACTTTGAACTACAGTCTTCAGATTGAGATCTTGATCAGCTAGGATTATAGGTATGACCCACTGGTATCCAGCTTTATATCATTTTTGAAAATTTTGCTGAGTCTTCAATACCTAAAATAATTGAAGTAGAAAATTCCAAAATTGCCCATTTACTTGATTTGTGATACATTTGGCTTTTTTGGATATTTTCATGTCCTTGACACTCTTCTAATAATGTGGGTAGTTCATTCATTCATTCAACAAATGCACAGTGAACATCTTCTGGATGTTGAATTTGTCTACTGTGTACAGGGTGGAAGACGGTGGCCCCATTTTATGACACTGCCTCTGATAAATGTGAAAAAATAATTGATAATTATGGTTATAATAATTGCGGTTCTAAATGTTATGCAGGAAGTAAATGGGATGATAATGTGTATGAAAGTAGGATATTAGAATATCCTAGAAAAGGTGGCTTGGGCAGCACAGTAAGAGGACCGTGTTGTTTTCATTGGCCTTTGTTCAGGTGTGTCACATGAACTCAGAGCATCCTGCTCTGGAGACCTCATTCTTGGGAAGGTCTTCAGATTTGTGTGAGCCTTCACAGACCAGAAAACGGAGGGTTAACTGCTGTCTCCACTGCACACTTGCTTCCCTCATGCAAATTATAACCCAAGGCCTCATAGTTCTCATGAGAAAATAGGCTCAGTTCCATCTTTTTTCTGATACACTTCAAAAGGGTTTTATGAGAGCTATTGATCTATTTTGCATACACTAGAGAAAACTTCCCTGTTGTGGGGTTCTCTGAAAGTGGTGTTCTCTTGTATGTGCTATCACATAGCACATGTACACTGACCAGAATTGCTGCAGCTCCTGGAGGAGCCCTGCAGGAAACAGGGCTCTTGCTCACACTTCTCAGTGTTTGTGCACTAAGTGCCCTCCTCACATTCTGAAACATCTTAGACTCAAAGCAATTGTTATATAAAACCAGAAGAAATGAAAAGGCTCTCTTGCTTTCCCATATTTTTTTTTCCTGCTGGGAATGAAATCCATAGCCTTGGGCATGCTAAACAGAATGCTTTACCACTTGCTTCGGATTTCTTATATATATATCCCAATTTTGTGTGTATATGTTGTGTGTTTATTTTCAACCTAAAACAAGTGGGGTCTTTGTGCTTTTCAATTTTGATCGTTGGACCAATATTTGAAAATAGGGAAAACATGTGAAAATAGCCACAAATAATAATGCCAGAGAATCAACAAACATAAAGACTCTACTGGCACTGAGAAGAAACAAAGCCTCATGGTAAAGCTTTGTCTGTGGGCATAGCAACATAATGGTGTATTTTCTTGCATAATTATACAATGTAGGGTATATGTACTATATGTGCAAGATGGTTAAACAAACTCAGAGCATTATATCCTGTTAGTATACCAAGATGCAGAAAAGTTAGTGTATATTGAAAGCTTGTTTATCATTTTCCATTTGTAGTTCCTATGGAAGATCCACTTAGGGAGATGGCTGAGTATATGGATTCCAGTCGAGATGAAGTCTGGGAGAAAACTTCCTGCAACAAACAAGTTACGTTCTTGGTGTACCGAGAAGGAGATCAATTGAATTTCTTTCGTGTAGTAGATAGGGGAGATGGCACTTTAACACCATTATCTGAATCGTTAAGGTAAAGAGGTTTTCATTTTCATGCCTCTCTTAGAAAAGGAGAATATCATATGATATGTTTCATAAATGTTTATGATTATCTTCTGTTGTCAAAATAATCTTAACATACTAATAAGACTGATTAAATTTCATACATTTCTTTCCATTCTTTCCCTGATTTATAATAATGAAATTATCCCTCATATGATTAATATTTAGAATAATTTCTAAAGTTTCTTTATATAGTAGAATTTTTTTCCATTTGGTCATGGGGCTTGAACTCTGGGTCTGGGCGCTGTCCCTCAGCTCTTCAGCTCAAGGCTAGCGCTCTACCACTTGAGCCACAGTGTCACTTCCAGCTTTTTTTCTGCTTATGTGGTACTGAGGAATCCAACCCAGGGCCTCATGCATGCGAGGCATTCATGGGCCACCTTCCCATCCCATAGTAGAATTTTTCATAACAAGGATTTCTCTTACTTTTTTGAAACTCTGAAGATTCCTTTAGGTTATAGAGTCATGAAAATAGTGTTACTATGTTATTGAGACATAGTAGAAAAGGTTAAACCTAAAGTTGGTCTCTTTTTTTCCAAATTTAACTCTGTTGCTTTAAAGATGAACAAATCTCTATGGTTCTGTAAGAGAATCTGTAACATTCCAAAACTGGGAGGGTGGAGAAGGGGGTATCCTACAGATATTTAGCTAGGCAATAGAAAAGTGAGGGAAATGGACAAAGTAAGCCTTAAGTTTCTGTGCATCGAGACTTACAAATAAGTCTTTATCTCCTTTCACTTTAAGTCATTAAATATTTACTGACCTTTTATAGCCAGTTACAAAGCTCCTGGTGCTACAAAGGCTCCATTTTCATGCAGCATGAATCTTTTAATAGTATTGGTTATTGTTATAAAAAGATAGCATGATCCCAGGGAAGGGAGATAAAAAAGAAACATGAGTTAGCTGCTGGTGGCTCATGCCTGTAATTGTAGCTACTCAGGAGGCTGAGATCTTGGGCAGTAAAGTCTGTGAGACTCTTATCTCAAACTAACTATTCAGAAAATTCCAGAAGTAGAGCTGTGGCTCAAGTGGTAGAATACTAGCTTCAAGAAAAAAAAAAACCTCAAGGACAGTGCCTAGGCCCTGAGTTCAAGCCCCAGGATCAGGAAGGAAGGAAGGAGAGAGAGGGGGGGTGGGGGAAAGAGAGAGGGAGGGAGAGAGAGAAAGAGAAAGAAAGAAAGAAAGAAAGAAAGAAAGAAAGAAAGAAAGAAAGAAAGAAAGAAAGAAAAGAAAGAAAGAAAGAAAAGAAAGAAAGGAAAGAAAGAAAGGAAGGAAGGAAGGAAGGAAGGAAGGAAGGAAGGAAAGAAAGGAAAGAAAGAAGAAAAGAAAGAAAAAAGAAAGAAAGGGGAGAGAGGGAGGGAGGGAGGGAAGGAGAGAGAAAGAAAATAAAGAGATAAGAAGGAAAGAAGGAAGGAAGGAAGGAAAGAAGGAAGGAAGGAAGGAAAGAAGGATGGAAGGAAGGATTATAGTAAACCCATAACCACTGGCAGAGTGCATCTTGGCATGCATGAAGCCACAGCTTCAAGCCTCAGCAACAAAACATGCTTGTTAGGATTTAAATCTGAGCAACCCCCAAGGCTCATCATGTGCTTGGAGTCTGCTTATCAGCTGATGGGTTTGGGGGAGTAACTGGATAGTGAGGGTTCAGACAAATCAATGAATTAGTCCCTTGATGTGTTATTAGGGCATGGGGCCTTGTTTGGGAGTTGGGTCACTGTGTGGTGCCCTGGAGAAGTACACCTTGTCCCCTGGCCCCTGCCTGTCCCTCAGTTAACTGCTACCATGAAGTGAGCACTCCCCTGCGCCCCCATTGCGATGCTCTGTCACCACAGCCACGCAACCACAGACCAAAGCCTCTAAAGGCTTAAGCCCAAATAAATTTTCCCTCTTCTTAAGTAGTTTCTCTCAGGTATATGTCCCACCATGGTACCAAAATGATCGGGGATAAAGCTCTGTGATAAGTGAAGTTTACTGCTGGCTTGGTAGTACATGGCAGAATTAGAATACTCACTGGGTGTGTACTGTGGAGAGGGACAGGGTGGTGCATTAGAGGTACTAACATGTACCTCATGCTACGGAACCAGAAGTAATGGCAGTGAACTTTATTTGTTAGAATTAACTGGAGAGGAGCCGCTCTACAAGGTTAGTGATTGAGAATGTGCTCAGTTCTCAGTGAGCAGAGACTTGGAGAGGCATGAAGCAGAGTGAGAGGAAGGGCCTCAGCACTGAGCATGTGAAGAGCAGGCCCAGGAGCCAGAGCTAACAAAAGAGATCCACACTGGGCAGAAGGGCAGTCTGAATGTCATTTCTTTTGTTTTTTTTTTTATGTAAGAAATTCCACATTTGAAATAAAAAATGCAATTTTGCCTATTACTTATTTTCCTTAAAATGAGGATCTCCAGTTACATCCATTTTCTTGCAAGTAAATTCTTTCTTTATGGCCAAATAATAACTCATTTTGTGTGTGCGTGTGTGTGTGTGTGTGTGTGTGTGTGTGTGTGTGTGTGCATGCACGCATAATATATGTCCTTTATCCATTCAGCAGTTTAAGGGAACCTAGGCTCATTCTATTGCTTGGCTATTGTGAATAGAGCTACAGTGTACACACACACATGCGCACGCGCGCACGTGCGCACACACACACACAAGTTTCAGGTGTCTCTATTGTATGCTCACATTTCTTTGTATATATGTCCAGGATCATAGTGCATGGCAGGATCATGTGTGGCAGGATCATATAGTAGTTCCATACTTAGTTTTTTAAGGAGTTCCACAGTGGTTCATTGCACTAATTTACATTCCCACAAACAGTATATAATGGGTACTTTCCATACATATCACTCCCTCCCTACCAATATTTATTTTCTTGATGATAGTCATTTTGATTTGGGTGAGATAGTGTGTGTGTGTGTGTGTG